ATATATTTTAATTTTTTCCCGTCTCTATTACGTGCTTTCCGTAATCGCTTCACCGAGCAAAGCTTTTGTTTAACGCTCACCACTTCTGTGCTAGTCAGTGGGGCTTGCCCGATTCCTGGGGCATGCCCACCGGTGGACCTGCGCACGACAAATTAGAAGTTGCCGATAGCTTAAAGAGCCTCACTGTTAAAAAATACATCTCACCTTCCATGCCCCAACGTTTCTCACCTTTGAGCTTTCTCTTTTTTTCTTCATTATACCGTATATATGCCATTCAAGAAAGACACGTGGAACGAAGGAACACGACTGATACTTTATCAACGCATGTAGCGGCTGGTGGAGTGGCCTTGTGAGGCCTTTAAACACCCTTTAGGAGGGGGGGGGGGGGGGGTACAAGAGCAGAGGAACGCGCGTGGGGGGTGCTACAAATATGCCCGTGAAAAGACTACATTTCCGGTTTTGTGGTGCCTCAGGACATCACGCCAGACCCAGATGAAGGGAAACGCGCGGATGCATAATAAATGTATTTATTTGTGAAGCTTGTATGCAGCGCAAGGATTCGAACGGTGAAACTGGAAGATTCTGATGACTAAATTGGTTGCTTTTAGGTTGTTTGCAAGCCTTACCTAGGTGATACAATTTGTTCTAGACTACTATGTTGCCACTAAGCCTTAGCTAAGCTTTGCTAGGCTGTTTCAGTGTTGATTTTCAGCGCGCAGGTTTGAGCTAAACCACGAACAGTCACAAACAGGACAAAGATTCCCAAACTTCAGTGACAGAAACCCGCGTCCAAACTAAACGTTAGCAGCTCATAAATATACGGGCACGTCATTGCTGGCGGAGCTCTTCAATCACTTCGGGGTCTTCTGGAAGCCGCCGTTGCCTTTCCCGTTTCCTAGTAGTCTCCCGTATGAAGAACACGTACGCGTTGTAACAAAATACAATCTGAGTCGACTTCCTCATCAAAACGTTATTCTCATAGTATATATATATATATATATATATATATATAGATGATCCGAGTTTCTTCCGGCTACCGTAATAAAAGTTATAAACTTCGAGAGTAGTGCAGTATAGGAAACAAAACAATAAAATATTTCATCATCATCATCATCATCATCAGCCTGACTACGTCCACTGCAGGACAAAGGCCTCTCCCATGTTCCGCCAGTTAACCCGGTCCTGTGCTTGCTGCTGCCAATTTATACCCGCAAACTTCTTAATCTCGTCTGCCCACCTAACCTTCGTCTCCCCCTAACCCGCTTCCCTTCTCTGGTAATCTAGTTAGTTACCCTTAATGACCAGCGGTTATCCTGTCTACGCGCTACATGCCCGGCCCATGTCCATTTCTTCTTCTTGATTTCAGCTATGATATCCTTAACCCCCGTTTGTTCCCTAATCCACTCTGCTCTCTTCTTGTCTCTTAAGGTTACACCTACCATTTTTCTTTCCATTGCTCGCTGCGTCGTCCTCAATTTAAGCTGAACCCTCTTTGTAAGTCTCTAGGTTTCTGCTCCGTAGCTAAGTACCGGCAAGATACAGCTGTTATATACCTTCCTCTTAAGGGATAGTGGCAATCTACCTGTCATAATTTGAGAGTGCTTGCCGAATGTGCTCCACCCCATTCTTATTCTTCTAGTTACTTCAATCTCGTGGTTAGGCTCTGCGGTTATAACCTGCCCTAAGTAGACATAGTCTTTTACAACTTCAAGTGTACTATTACCTATCTCGAAGCGCTGCTCCTTTCCGAGGTTGTTGTACATTACCTTCGTTTTCTGCAGATTAATTTTAAGACCCACCTTTCTGCTCTCCTTGTCTAACTCCGTAATCATGAGTTGCAATTCGCCCCCTGAGTTACTCAGCAATGCAATGTCATCGGCGAAGCGCAGGTTACTAAGGTATTCTCCATTAACTCTTATCCCTAACTGTTCCAATTATAGGCTTCTGAAAACCTCCTGTACGCACGCGGTAAATAGCATTGGGGAGAATGTGTCCCCCTGCCTTACACCCTTCTTGATTTGTATTCTGTCGCTTTCTTTATGAAGCACTATGGTAGCAGTTGATCCCTTGTAGATTTCTTCCAGAAAGTTTATATATACTTCATCTACGCCCTGATTCCGCAGTGTCTGCATGACGGCTGATATTTCTACTGAATCAACCGCCTTCTCGTAATCTATGAAGGCTATGTATAGTGGTTGGTTATACTCTGAGCATTTCTCTATTACCTGATTGATAGTATGAATGTGGTCAATTGTTGAGTAGCCTCTTCGAAATCCTGCTTGTTCTTTTGGTTGATTGAATTCTAATGTTTTCTTTACTCTGTTAGATATTACCTTTGTAAATAGCTTGTATACTACAGAGAGCAAGCTGATCGGCCTGTAATTATTCAAGTCCTTGTCATCTCCTTTCTTATGTATTAAGATGATGTTAGCGTTCTTCCAAGACTCTGGTACCCTTCCCGTCAGGAGACACCTCGTAAACAGGGTGGCTAGTTTTTCTAACACAATCTGTCCTCCATCTTTCAGCAGATCTGATGTTACCTGATCCTCACCAGCAGCTTTGCCTCTTTGCATGCTCTCCAAAGCTTTTCTGACTTCTTCTATCATTACTGGTGGGGTGTCATCTGGGTTACTGCTAGTTCTTATAGTATAATTGTCGTGGTTGTCTCGGCTACTGTACAGATCTCTGTAAAACTTCTCCGCTATTTTAACTATCCTATCCATATTGGTAGTTATTTTGCCTTCTTTGTCCCTCAGTGCATACATCCGACTTTTGCCTATCCCAAGTTTCCTCTTCACTGCTTTGACGCTTCCTCCGTTTTTCAGAGCGTCTTCAATTCTCTCCATGTTATAATTTCTTACATCGCATACTTTACGTCTATTAATCAACTTCGAAAGCTCTGCCAGTTCTATTTTGTCTGTTGTACTTGACACTTTCATGCTTCGACGCTTCTTGATTACGTTCTTAGTTTCCTGGGAAAGCTTGCCAGTGTCCTGTCTAACTACCCTGCCTCCAACTTCCACTAGACACTTCGTAATGATACTCGTCAGATTATCATTCATTGTATCTACGCTAAGGTTGGTTTCCTCACTAAGAGCCGAGTGCCCGTTCTGCAGCGACACTCTGAATTCCTGTACTTTCCCTCTCAGTGCTCGCTCATTGATTGGCTTCTTGCGTATCAGTTTCTGTCGTTCCTTCTTCAAGTCTAGGCGAATTCGAGACCGTACCATTCTATGGTCACTGCATCGTACCTTGCCAACCACTTCCACATCCTGCACGATTCCTGGGTGTGCAGTCATTATAAAGTCTATTTCGTTCTTATTTTCGCCATTAGGGCTCCTCCATGTCCACTTGCGGTTTTCTCGTTTTCGGTAGAAAGTATTCAAAATCCGCAAATTATTGCGTTCTGCAAATTCTACTAGTAGATCTCCTCTGGCGTTTCTAGTGCCGATGCCATAATCTCCCACTGCCTGGTCTCCAGCCTGCGTCTTCCCTACCTTTGCATTAAAGTCGCCCATCACTATAGTAAACTGTGTTTTTACCTTACTCATTGCCGATTCCACGTCTTCATAGAAGCTTTCAACTGAAGCGTCATCATGGCTGGACGTAGGCGCGTAAGCCTGTACTACCTTCATCTTGTATCTTTTATTCAGTTTAATTACAATACCTACCACCCTTTCATTAATGCTATAGTATTCCTCTATGTAGCCAGCTATGTTTCTGTGAATTAGGAAACCCACTCCCAGTTCTCTTCTGTCTGCCAAACCCCGATAGCAAAGGACGTGCCCATTCTGTAGCACAGTATAGGCCTCATCTGTCCTCCTAACCTCACTGAGCCCTATTATATCCCATTTAACACCCTCTAGCTCCTCGAATAGTACAGCTAGACTTCCCTCACTAGATAAGGTTCTAGCGTTAAACGTTGCCAAGTTCCGGTTCCAAAGGCGGCCTGTAGTCCAGAGATTCTTAGCACCCTCTGCTGCGTTGCAGATCTGACCGCCGCCATGGTCAGTTGCTTCGCAGCTGCTGGGAACTGAGGGCCGTGAGTTATTTGACGTATGCATGTGGGAGGTAGTGGCCAGATACTGCACCAGGATGGCCAATCCTTCTCTGGTGAGGGAGTGCGTTCCCGGCAGTGGTTACTGGTGAGGCCGCACCCCAGGCCTCTTAATTCAGTAACATCAACACGCGGATTTTTTTTCCGGTTGGGAACTGCGCGGCACCGGGATTTGAACCACGGACCTCTTGCATGCGAGGCGGATGCTCTAACCACTACGCCACCGCCACACCCCCGGAAACGAGCGGTTTCCGACGACTCTCCGTCGCTCCTTTCTAGTTCCTCTCCTTCTTCTGCTTCATGTTGTTTGTTGCTATCTCGTTCGCCTGTTTGTCTCGTTTTTTTTTGTTTTTTTGGAGGGTCTTCAAACTGTGAGAGTGACTCTCTGCTACGGGAACTTGTACCATTTCACTTACATCCTCCGAAGAAGGCTGGTCCACCAGCCGAAACTGTTAGGATTAAATAAATATTTTATTGATTTGTTTCCTATACTGCACTACTCTAGAATTTTATACCATATATATATATATATATATATATATATATATATATATATATATATATATATATATATATATATATATATATATATATATATATATATATATATATAAAGGTCTGCCAGGAAATAGCGAGCGTATCAAGCGGATGATGCAAGACTGCCCTGTGTTGCAACACACACAACCGCGTGCCCACACAAATAATATATATATATATATATATATATGCAACATTGGCGAGTCTTGCGTCATTCGTTTCTCATTCCTTGATGGCACGCTTCAATGCACGCAGAACACACACGCATGGCGAATTTCCCGGCAACGTGCTAGAAGCGGATGACGCAAGACCTAATGAAAGCTCGATATGTCTGCCTCTTGATAAGTGTAAGTCCTGAGATGGCACTAAAGCTATCGCCAATAAGCGAATAAATAAATGCTGGTACCTGAAAGCGCTCATCTCCTTGCTGGTGTTGATGACAGTGGTGCGCATAACAGATGCTCGTCCCTCGACATCATCGTCGTGGTACACCCAGAGGCCTCCCAACTCTGCGGACCGCTCGTACAGCACCACGTCGAAGCCGTAGTCGAGCATCTGGCGGGCGCAGGCGAGACCGCTGGGACCGGCGCCCACTACGCAGACTTTTTTCGTCGACATCTTTCGATTCTGAAAAAGATGAACGCTGCCTGTTGAATGAAGGCAAATTTCAGCGACCGGGAAGGTATATATGCATTCCTGCAGAGAGAGATAGCGAGAGAAGAAGTAGAGCAGGAGAGGCAAGGAGGTTAGAGCCTATCAGCGGAGCCACACACTGGCTCCGCTGCTGGCTGCTTGATACCTACCATTCGCAACCGATGAGCGAAATCGCCGACCTGTGGGCAATTTACCGCCCGCACGGTACCTCGTTAGTGGCTCTCATTAGCGGTTTTATTATAGTACTCAGTTTGCTAGACCATGGTTTGGATGACGCAACAAATACTGAACGTTTGTGACCAATCCGCGAAGCTTATGTGTACTAGGTCGGCGCGAACGACTTTTCCAGTATTTTATTCCCACATTGATCAAATACACTGACTGAAGACGAAAAACTCCAATGGTAAATATATAACCAAAAGAGCGGTGATATTTTAGTGCGTTCTCATGATTTCTACTGCAATACTTTGAAAACGTGGCAAAACTAGCCTTATAAAACTATAAAAATAGTCATACTATCATTCTTAAAGAAGCGTTTGCACAATTCAGAACGTGTGGTCGTTGCTTCGGGTTTATCTTGAGTGATTTCAGGAACAATACAGTGGCTATTTGTGGAATTTTCTGTGGGCAGAAAGGAGCGTTTGCAGGTCGGTTTACCAGATGGCACCACCGTATCAATGTCAGTCAAAGTACTAGAGCTCTTATCTACGCCGCCACGTCTTTCCGCACCGTCAACATTCTCGCTTATCACGTCTTTCTTTCGCTTTGCCGGCTCATCCTCCGCGCTAAATGGATCTGACGCACGATTACACCCTGTCTCTGACTATGTCACCTTAACCTTGCGCAGCTTAACCTCGCGCACTCTCATTTTCATTTTATTATACTCCTCAGGGCCAGAGACTTTACGAAGGGAGAGTGGTAGCAACACTTCGACACAAAACATGCAAGAAAAAAAAGCAAAAAGAAACAAGAAATACTTTAAAACAAAAAGTAAAACAATACGAATATATAACAAAGGAGCGAAATTGAACTTATAGTGATTTTAGAATAAACCTTGGTATACAATATCAGCTACGAAATTACACAACAGTACTGAAGAAAAATGTTCACAACAACCGAGCGATGGCCATTCCAATCACGAGAGGTTCCTGGGAGAAATGAATGATAAATGTGCGCAGTATTACAGGAAGTGGGTCCGACTTTATGACGAAGGTCTGAGCGAGGGGATACATAAGATAGCTCAGGGATGAAGGCGATCACGTAGTGCAGGGTGATGATACATTTTATCAAAACAATGCGTGACACTTTTCTGCGCGATGATAATGATGGGAGGGAAAGGTCTGATTTCGAAGAAGTTATACTGGCAGTGTGGCTGTAATTAGATTGAATGAAACGTGTGGAGTTATTCTGAACCATTTCTAGAGCAGAAATTAGGTTAGCTTGGGTGGGATCCTAGACCGGTGTAGCATACTCCAGTTTCGATCGAATTAGTGTTTTATTGAGGAGCAGTTTCAAGAAGGAGGAACAGGATAAAAATTGGACGAAAGTAACCTAACATTCGATTAGCTTTTTTAAGTAAGTGCGCAATATGAGTAGACCAGTTGAGGTTTGCTGTATGTACAAGCCGATGTATTTATACGAATTCAGTGATTCTAAATTAATGTTGTCTATGTAGCAAGGTGGTGGGCAGGAAGATTTTCCAGAAACGTGCGTGACTTTACATCTATTAATACTGTCACGGGTTCGTGACGTGGCCGAAGGAAGGAGACTGGATGGTCCAATCAAACTGTTTATTTCGGCGAACCTGTTTCTGGTAAACGGAAACGGGTTTAAGTAGCACACTTGCACTGATAGCAGCGAAGACAGCGTCGGCCGTTGATCAACTGACAAGCGGCGAAGCATGTCGGCATTTATACTTTTATTTATTTATTTACAACATACTGCGTTCTTAAAAAGGCCAAGCAGGAGAGGCACAAAAATTAAGTGGGAAACATACTTAAGCGTGATAGATGAACGACGTGCACAAAATACAGAAGATAAGTACATTGTACAGAGATATATAGATGAGCTTAAACACAGCTTAATACGACCTTCAGAAGAACGGAGATGGGTCTATCTCCCTATTATACGTTCACAATTGCGATAAGCTGTAAAGCTAGTCGAGTGCAGACTACAGTACAGACAATATGGCACGCTCAAAAGGACAAATAGACTGAGATGCGAAAACCACTTCAGGCAGTGAATTCGATTCCGATACTGTACGTGGGAAAAACAAATTCTTAAACATGTTTGTGTGGGCTCGATACGGAAGCAAATTGTACGCGTTCCGATGTCTCGTGGGGCGCGATTGAAATGGATGAATGTATACCGACGCATTTACCTTTGTTGAACCATTATAAAGAGCAAACAGCAGTTTCAGCCTATCGATTTTTTGTCTATCTTCCAGGCTTAAAATGCTATTCACCAGCACTAGAGAAGTTGGTGAGTCGGTGGTCCTATATTTGTTGAAAATGAAGCGTATAGCGCGTCTTTGCACCATTTCAAGCCGGTACTTATCTTTTTTAAGCAAGGGCTCCTATACGACCGAAGCGTATTGCAGTTTAGGAAGTATTGTCGCTGTGAAGGCCAGTAATTTGACGTGATTTGATGACGCTTTGAGTTTATGCCGTAAAAAGCCTAACTTGCGTGTGGCAGATGCGCAGATGTTTTCTATGTGCTTTGACCACGACAGAGTATTGGTGAACGTTATCCCGAAGTATTTGTACTGGCTTTTTTCTACCACTGGTGCACCATTTAATGAATAAGAACACTGAAAGGGGTGTATTTTCTTCGTTACACGAAGTAGAACTGTTTTGTCAGCGTTCAAGCTCATACCCCAGGTAGTGCACTACTGACCTATTCTCGTCAAACTGCTGTTTAACAAGACTTGGTCATCAGTGCCCGTGATTTCCTTTAAAATAAGACAGTCGTCTGCAAACACTTTTATGGAAACTCTTGGGTCAATAGCAGATGTCATGTCATTGATATAAATTAAAAAAAAAAGAACCGGTGCCAAAACACTGCCCTGTGGAACGCCAGATGTTACACCAAGTCTTTCAGATACGCACCCGTCGACTTCCACAAGCTGTGTTCTGTTGGTTAAATATGATTTGATCCACTTAATTATAAACGCAGGAAGGCCCAAAGAAGAAAGCTTAGTGAGTAGTTTATCAGGGGGTACGCGATCAAAGGCTTTACTGAAGTCAAGAAACACTAAATTTATTTGGCTGGATGAATCTAAAGCTTGTGCGATTTCATGAGTGGTTGTAACAAGTTGAGTAGTGGTAGAAAGGCCTTTGTGGAACCCATGTTGGAACCCGGAAAGGACGCTGTTTGTTTCCAAAACATTGTTAGTAAAAGAGGAGATTATGTGTTCCAAAGTTTTGCAGCAGGTCGATGTTAGTGAAATGGGTCGATAATTTTCCATTTTCAAGCTATTTCCTTTTTTTAAAGGCAGCCAAAACGCGAGCTAAACGCCAATCATCAGGCAAGACTGAGTGGCGCAAGCATAAACGAAAGATGGCGGTCAAAATTTGCGATATCGGCCCGGCATAACGGCGCAAAAAAGCATTTGGAATTAGGTCTGGCCCTTCTGATGTCTTTTCGTTTATATACAGGAGAAGTGCAAGAACGCCTTCGCAAGATATAAATTCAGAATCAATATCAGTCACATTCATGAACAGCCCGTTTGTTTCAGTATGGGGAGAGAAGACCGAATGGAAATACTCGTTCATTGTATTAGCAATGGTCTTCGGTTGAGTTATAAGGGCGCTGTTCTGTTCAATTTGTTCCCAGCGTTTTTTACTGCCACCCAGATAGCGCCAGAACTTTTGTGGTTGTGTTCTATTAAAATTTGGCAACATGGTCAAAAAATATTTCTTTCTGGGTAGATAAACTCGCGGAAAGCTGTGTTTTAAGACTCTGAATGAGTTCAGCTTGGGTGGTTTTGTTTTGTTGGCCCGTTTCAGTTTCCGCTTTAAATGAACGATATTCCTGTTTACCCAGGGACTAGCTCGGTTTGTTTAGATTTTTTTACGAGGGACATAGGTACGAATACAATCGAGGACCATTCTCTTAAATTCAAGCAATAGTGAGAGGGGATTTTCAGTTGATACGTTGTCGGCAAACGCCCGAAGCTCATCTAAGATTGCCTGGTCGTCAGCACGGGCAAAGTTACTAATAACTTTTGCCTTGGGCTCAGCGTTTTTAGCACAGTTTTCAACGGAACAAGTTGGAGCGAACTGGATAAGGTATTACACGATGTACGCGAAAAATCTTCGCAAATTCAGACACTACAGGATAAAGTACTTTCCCTTGAGAATGTAATTGAGCAACAGATAAGCAAAATAACTGACCTTGAAGACCGCAGCCGACAGTCCAATCTTGTTGTCTATGGTATTGAGGACCAGGCTGATGAAAGTGATCAAGTGTTGCGTGCGCAAGTCATCGATAATGTGTTCACAAAAATACTCAAACAACCCAGCACGTCCATTGCAAGAATTCACCGTCTCGGGAAGCGAGTTGGAAATAGACCGGTGATCGTATATTTCCAGGATTTCCTAGAGAAGGAAGCTATCCTACGTAGTGCCAGCAAACTCAAGGGCACTAATATATTAATCCGAAACGATTTCAGTCAATCCGCACTACGCAAGCGCAAATTGTTTGGCAATCCGCGAAAGCCGACAAGGCAAACGGCAAAAGCGTCTCCCTTATCTATGATAAGCTGAAGATCGATGGTGTCATTTATACCTGGGATGACACTAGGCAACAACGCATTGCCTTGAGCACTCGTGTAACTCGTGTTAAAACCTTTCCGGGTACTGCTCACATGACATCTGCGAACAAAGTCACACCTGCCGAGCCTTGATGGGAAGCTTGCGGTGCACCAAAACAGCTAAGGATCCTAAAGGCTGGTGCACACCAGCGACTAGCAGCCGTCGCGCGACCATTTGCGAGTGGCGACCGAAAAGC